ACTCGAACTCAGATCCGGAACAAGTAAACTTAATAAATATTTATAGAGCTCTCCACTTCAAATACACAAAGTATACATTCTTGTCAATACCACATCACACCTACCCATAAGTTTAAATGAAACATTGATTGGCCATTATTAATACTCAATTTTTTTCAAAATAAAGCAATATTTCCATTTACTCTCCCTCTTTCTCTTCCTCTTTCTTCCTCTCCTTTACTTATTTTTTTTTTCTTTCCTTCTCTCAAAAAAAAAAGAAATCAACTTGTAAACCTCTAGATCCAGGTCGGCAATGTCTCTCTCATTGCTTGATTTCCTTCCTTCCCTTCCCTCCCTCCCTCCCCGCTTCCTCCCTTCCTTCCTTCCTTCCTTCCTTCATCCCTTCCTTCCTCCCTACCGTCCTTCTTCCCTCCCTCCCCGCGTCCTCCCTTCCTTCCTTTCTTCCTTCATCCCTTCCTTCCGCCCTACCGTCCTTCTTCCCTCCCTTCCTGCCTTCCTCCCCCGCCCAAAAAAAAAAAAAAAAAAAAGAAATCCTGTCTCTACTAAAAATACAAAAATTAGCTGGCTGTGATGGCAGCCTCCCAAGTAGCTAGGACTGCAGGCACAAGCCACCATGCCCAGCTAATTTTTTGGTTTTTTTTTGAGACAGAGTCTTGTTTTTTCAGCAGGCGCCAGGCTGGAGTGCAGTGGCGCGATCTCGGCTCACTGCAACCTCCGCCTCCTGGCTTCAAGCAATTCTCCTGACTCAGCTTCCCAAGTAGCTGGGACTATAGGCACAGGCCACCAGGCCCAGCTAATTTTTGTATTTTAGTAGAGATGGGGTTTCACTATGTTGGCCAGGCTGGTCTCAATCTCTTGACCTCTTGATCCCCCCACCTCGGCCTCCCAAAGTGCTGGGATTACAGGCGTGAGCCACCACACCCAGCCCAATTCTTCGTATTTTAATAGAGAAGGAGTTTCATCATGTTGGCCAGGATGATCCCGATCTCCTAACCTCGTGATCCACCCGCATCCACTCCCAAAGTGCTGAGATTACAGACGTGAGCCACTGCACTGGGCAATTTTTTTTTATCTTTTTCTTTTTTTTGAGACAGAGTCTTGCTCTTGTTGCCCAGGCTGGAATACAGTGACATGATGTCGGCTCACCGCAACTGCCACCTCCTAGGTTCAAGCAATTCTCCTGCTGCCACTTTTTGTATTTTTAGTAGAGATGGGGTTTTACCACATTGGTCAGGCTGGTCTGGAACTCCTGACAGAGCAAGACTCTGTTGTTGCCAGGCTGGAATGCAGTGGTGCAATCTCAGCTCACTGCAACCTCTGCCTCCCAGGTTCAAACAATTCTCCTGCCTCAGTCTCCTGAGTAGCTGGGATTACAGGCATGCACCACCACGCCCAGCTAATTTTGTGTTTTTATTAGAGACCGGGTTTCTCCATGTTGGTCAGGTTGGTTTCGAACTCCTAACCTCAGGTGATCCACCCACCATGGCCTCCCAAAGTGCTGGGATTACAGGTATAAGCCACTGTGCCTGGCCAAAAATTGTTAATTTATTTTTGAAAACAGAGTTGGCTGGGCATGGTGGCTCATGCCTGTAATCCTAACATTTTGGGAAGGTGAAGTGAGTGGATTGCCTAAGGTCAGGAGTTCACAGCCTGGCTAACATGGTGAAACCCCTATCTATTAAAAACAAAAAAAAATGGCCAGGCGTCATAGCACATGCCTGTAGTCTCAGCTACCTGGGAGGCTGAGGCAGGAGAATCATTGGAAGCCAGGAGGCAGAGGCTGTGCTGAGACAAGATAACAACATTACACTCCAGCCTAAGTGATAAAGCAAGACTCCATCTCAAAAAAAAAAAAAAAAAAAAAAAAAAAAAAGTAGTCAGGGTCTCATTGTGTTGCCCAGACTGGTCTTAAACTCATGGACTCAAGCAATCCACTTGCCTTGGCCTCCTAAAGGCCACACTTGCTGGGATTACACGTGTGAGCCACTGCACCTGGCCAGATATTGTTAAAGTTTTAAATTAAAAATCCCCCCAAATAGGCCAGGTACATTGGCTCACACCTGTAATCCCAGCACTTTGGGAGGTCAAGGTGGGCCGGTTGTTTGAGGCCAGGAGATGGAGACCAGCCTGGTCAACATGGTGAAACCTCATCTTTACTAAAAATACAAAAATTGGCCGGGCGCGGTGGCTCACACTTGTAATCCCAGCACTTTGGGAGGCTGAGGCGGGTGGATCACGAGGTCAAGAGATCGAGACCATCCTGGTCAACATGGTGAAACCTCATCTCTACTAAAAATACAAAAAATTAGCTGGGCATCGTGGCGCATGCCTGTAATCCCAGCTACTCAGGAGGCTGAGGCAGGAGAATTGCCTGAACCCAGGAGGCGGAGGTTGCGGTGAGCCGAGATTGCACCATGGCACTCCAGCCTGGGTAACAAGAGCGAAACTCGATCTCAAAAAAAAACAAAAATTAGCCAGGTGTGGTGGTGCAGGCCTGTAATCCCAGGTATTTGGAAGGTTGGGTCAGAAGAATCACTTGAAACTGGGAGACAGAGGTTGCAGTGGGCCAAGATTGTGGCACTGCACTCCAGCCTGGGCAACAGAGCAACTCTGTCTCAATTTAAAAAAAAAAAATTGCAAATTATATATCTAATAAGAGACTTATATCCAAATGCATAAAGAACTATTACAACCCAACATAAAAAGACTAACAACCCAATCTGAAAATGGACAAAGGATCTGAATAGACATTACTCCAAAGAAAATATATAATGGCCAAAAAGCACATGAAAAAGATGCTCAACATCATTAGTCACTAGGCAAATGCAACTCAAAACAATGAAACACCATTTTACACCCATTGCAATGGCTACAATTAAAATAAACAATAACAAGTATTGGAGAGGATGAGGAGAAATTGGAACCTCATTTAAGCTGCTGGTGAGAATTTAAAATAGTGCAGTTGCTTTGGGAAATATCTGGCAATTCCTCAAAAGGTTAAATACAGAGGCAGGATACAACCCAGAAATTCTACCCCTAGGTGTGTACACAAGAGATATGAAAACACAGCCCACACAAAAACTTTACATAAACTATTGTTCTGCTTATTCATAATAACCAAAAAGTAGAAACAATGTAAATGTCCACCAACTAATGAATGGCTATAAAAAATGTGATATGGCCATCCAGAAATGGAATATTTGACAATAAAAAGGAATAAAGTTGGCCAGGCATGGTGGCTCAAGCCTGTAATCCCAGTACTTTGGGAGGCCAAGGTGGGTGGATCACCTGCAGTCTAGAGCAGCCTGGCCAACATGGCCCCAAACCATGGCAAAACCTCCTCTCTCCTAAAAATACAAAAACTAGCCAGGCGTGGTAGTACACACCTGTAATCCCAGCTACTAGGGAGGCTGAGGCAGGAGAACTGCTTGGAGGTTGCAGTGAGCTAAGATCGCACCATTGCACTCCAGCCTGGGTGACAGAGCGATACTTAGTCTCAAAAAAAAAAAAGAATAAAGTATATAGTAAACATGGTTCATGGACCTTGAACCTTAAACCTTGAAAATAATATGCTAAGTGAAACAAGCCAGCTACAAAATACAAACATATACTGTACAACTGTATTTATATGGAAAATTCTGAATAGGTAAATCTACAGCAGTAGAAAGTGTAAGTGGTAGCTGAGGGGTAAAGGAAAAGGGAGTGTGACTGCTAACAGGTATGACGTTTCTTCAAAAAATATGGAAGCTGGACACAGTGGCTCCTACCTGTAATCCCAGCACTTTGAGAGGCCAAGGCAGGAGGATAACTTGAGATCAGGAGTTCAAGACCAGCCTGGGCAATACGGTAGGACCCCGTCCATAAAAAAAAATAAAATTAGCTGGGTGTGGTGGCACGTACGTGTAGTCCCAGCTACTCAGAAGACTGAGAAAGGAGGATAGCTTAAGCCGAGGAGGTTGAGGCTGCAGTGGGCTGAGATCACGCCACTGCACTCCAGCCTGGGTACAGAATGAGACCCAGTTTCAAAAAAACAAAAAGGTTCTAAAATTAGGCCAGGCTTGGTGGCTCATACCTGTGACCCCGGCACTTTGGGAAGCCTAGGCAAGAAGACTGCTTGAGGCCAGCAGTTTGAAAACAGCCTTGGCAACATAGTGAAGCCACACCTCTTTTCATTTATTTATTTCTGTTCCAAAATTAGATTTTGGTGATGGCCGCACAACTCTGAATATCCTAAAGATCACTGAAATGTAAATCTTAAAGGGTGAATTATATAAAGCTTTTAAAGAAAAAGAAAAAGCTTATTACACGTATCCATAATACAGAGCCCACTCTACTCCACCTCAGTGCCTGTGCTTTTGCAGCTCTGCCTTGCACACACACGTGCACACGAGTGCATGTGTTTTGTTCATTTCTAGTAAAACGGTTCTGTCCCAGGGAGCCCACAAAGATGAAGAGAGGTGGTCACATAAAGCCCTTAGTGCAATGTCTGGCCCAGGGAGACAGCCCATGTAGTGGAAATCCTTCTCCACTCCACCTGAGACCAGTTCTTCTAGATAAGCATCACCTTCTTCACTTAGCAAAAGGGGACAGGAATGCTTCTGGGCCCAGGCCTCAGGGTCTTGTGGGGCTTAGGTAAGGACACCTAGGAGGGGCTGAGGACAAACCAGGTTCTTGCTCATGGCACTGATCTTTTCGACAGGAGCAGCTGGGGGCCTGAGTAAGCTCCCGGTAGGATTCATGGGGGCTCACCACAGATGGAAAGTGCCAGCAGTGCAGTCTGGGGCCAGAGGTTGGGCCTGCATCCCAAGTGCCCTCCCTGTACCATGGACATACAGGAGGACCCAGACTGCTGCAGGCAAAGCCAACTGTGCCTGTGATCAATCAATGAGCAACCATCCCACGCCTACTCACTAGGACAGCCCACAGAGGGGTTCCAGAGTCTGTGACACTCTCCTCTCCAAGCCTCTCTGCTAGAGGGGCTCCACTCACTAGGGCCTTACCCGGGTCTTGGCCTTCAGGAACACATGGCTCTCCATTTCCTTGCTGGATTTACTGTGTGCCACACCAGCTTTCCTCATGGCATCCTCGCTGAAACACAGAAGGAGAAGAGACGTTTGCACACAACAGTGAGTCCACCACTGTGGGGCCCTGGCCAACAGTCCCTTCATAGCAGCTATCCCTGGTGACAAGGTGCTATCCCCAGCACACCAGCCTGGCTGAGGTCCAGGAGAGGCATGAAGGAAGGGGCACTCAACGGCAATGACAGTCCACTGGGCGAGGGAGAAAGCAAGCAGGTGATTAGAAAAAAGGGACAGGAAAGGTGGTCACCATGAAGCTAAGAGAGAGCCCTGACACAAAAGGGTAGGGAGCCAGCGCCTAGGGATGACTCGCAACCAGTTCAGGATCAAGTATGCATTAGACTACTGGGTGGCCAGCTGGCCTCTATTTCCTGCTCTCTGAGTGGTAGGACCATGGTAGGACCCTGGTTCCAGATTCGATTTCTCCCCCGTAAAATGAAGGGGGTCACATGAAGTCATCTCTCAGTCCCTCCCAAAGCAAGGGCCTGTCCCTTTGTGAGACAATGCAGGTCCTACATGTGAGATCAGATACAAGGCCCAACTTCAACAACTTCTAGCTAGAAACAAGAGGAAAAAGACCAAATAAATGTGAAAAATATCTTTAAAAACCCATTTACCAACAATTTTGTACTAAGAGATAGAATCTGTGAAGGGTTTTTTCATCACACTGCTGCTCCACGGGGATAAAGAGCCATGTACGTCAGTTAAGCTGGAGCCCCCGAGAATGCAGCACACACTGCTTCCCCTGCCCCCTACACTCACACATGGAAAGACAAGAACAAATGTGCATCTGTTAGAAAGGCCAGGCCTGTGGCTCCCAGGGGCAGGCTGCCCTGGTCTGCTCTTCCCAGTGGGATGGGTCTCTTCCTTGCCTGGCCTCCCACAATGGGCTTGCTGATAAAGAAACAAGCAAGCATGTCAGGGCTCTGGGGCCTTTCCTCTAGGTGAATTGAATAGGCCCAGTCCAGCTCGTGCCAGGGAGCATTCTGACCACTCCAAACAGCAACAAGCCAACCTCAGGAAACTGGAGGAATGTGCATGATGGGGCTGCAGCAATATGTGATTCTTAAAGTCATCACAGAAAGGAGGCTTAATGCTGAAGAGGCCCACACAACTGTCTTAATGTAAAAAGGAAAACAAAATGACATTGACCTATCACCCTGCTAGATCCAAAAAGCACTCTTGGGCCCCATGCAGTGGTTCATGCCTATAATCCCAACACTTTGGGAGGCTGAGGCGGGCAGATCACTTGAAGTCAGGAATTTGAGACCAGCCTGGCCAACATGGTGAAAACCAGTCTCCACTAAAAAGTACAAAACTTAGCCAGGCATAGTGGCAGGTGCCTGTAATCCCAGCTACTCAGGAGGCTGAGTCAGGAGAATCGCTTGAACCCAGGAGGTGGAGGTTGCAGTGAGCTGAGATCATGCCACTGTACTCCAGCCTGGGAGAGAAGAGTGAAACTCTGTCCCAAAAAAACAAAAACAAAAAAAACCCACTCTTGGGCCGTGTGTGGTAGCTCATGCCTATAATCCCAGCACTCTGGGAGGCTGAGGGGGGTGGATCACCTGAGGTCAGGAGTTTGAGACCAGCCTGGCTAACATGGTAAAGCACCGTCTCTACTAAAAATACAAAAATTAGTTGGGGGTGGTGGCGGGCACCTGTGGTTCCAGCCACTCAAGAGGCTGAGGCAGGAGAATTGTTTGAACGTGGGAGGTGGAGATTGCAGTGAGCCAAGATGGCGCCATTGCACTCCAGCCTGGGTGACAGAATAAGATTACATCTCAAAAAAAAAAAAAACAAAAACCACTCTTGCTTCGAGTTCCTAACTTACTGTCTGCTTCCTGAAGCCTGAACTGAGGCTAGAAGGCAGTAAGGGGTTCCTCTCACAAGATATCCAGGGGTGGAACAGACAAATAAAGGGAAAGGTCACTAGGGCCACAAAAGATAAGAGAGTTAACAACTCAGGAGGATAAGGAGAACCAGCTCAAGAACAGTGCAGGGTGAGAGTCCTGGGGAAGAAAGGAACGGGTGGGCTGGGAGGACCCTGTGCGCATGCTCTGAGGCTGCCGCACAGAGGCTGAGATGACAGCTGCTAGGCGCCAAGAAGTCAGTGACCATTTATGATAGAAGTAGTTACACAGGCCTGTTTCCTGAAGGTTGCCTGACCTGTGCCCCTCCCCTTCAAGAGCATACCTGTTCTTCCCACCTTCCTTTTTTTTCTTTTGTTTTTGAAACAAATTTTTGCTCTGTCACAGGGACAGCGCAGTGGCACAAACACAGCTCACTGCAGCTTCAAACTTCTGGGCTTAAGTATCCTCCTATCTCAGCCTCCAAAATAACTGGAACTACAGGCATGTGCCACCTCACCTGGCTAATTTATTTTTTACTTTTCTTGTAGAGATAGGGTCTTGCTTTGTTGCCCAGGCTGGCCTCAAACTCCTAACCTTAAATGATCCTCCCACCTTGGCCTCCCAAAGCACTGGAATCAATAGGGAGACCCAGGGGAGAGCAGTAGAAACAGCAGGGGAGCACTTGCAGGCCAAGCGGGATGGCCTGGAGGCTGGCTGTGTGAAGAGTAGGGAGGCTGTGGGTGGCAGATATGGCCAGGAGTCATACCCCAGAGAGGAAGAGGGGTACAGAAGAGTCTGGGAGTGACACTCAGTTATATGGATGGGCTCTGTGCCCAACAGCAGGGATCACTGAGGGCAAAGCCAGGCTTAATACAAAAGCAGTCCTTTTGAGCTGCTACTGGCCATTTTCGAGAGTGTCAGCCAACTGGCAGGACCCAGACAGACACTGTCTTGGTGCAGCAGAGACACCTGGCAGACAGTCAGAGAGACAAGATCTAGAAACACAGCTTAGTGCAACAGCTTTGAGGTGGTGGGATGACCAGGTTGAAGAAACGTACTTGGTGAGCGGAAGGCAGGGTGGCACCATACACCAGGGGATGTGCTGGCAGACAAGCCCTGTCCTGTCCTGGGTAACATCACAGATGATGTGGACACTGTGGGCACCAACTGTCAGTGACTCAGAGCCTAAGGAGCATGGACCAAGCTGGAGGTCAGAAACAGTCAAGTCTTGACAGGCCAACACCAAGAAACCAAGTTGGGGTAAACGTCCAGTTCCACATGAGCTTCAGAGGGTCAGAGTGAGGCCGAGGAGCAAGGGGCTCCTCTGGCAAGGCTGGGGCTCTAAACAGCAGCACTGTGCCATGTCATTCCCACGTCCCCTCCATAGCATCCACCCAGGGAGGCCCAGCAGGTCTGCTAGCTGCTAATACACATCTTGTGCAGTTTTTAGTTCTGTGAACCATATTTTTGAAAAAGTCTTTGCTCCTGTTTCTAGTTTGAAGATCATGTGCCACAAAACGGAGACAAAGTGAAAAAGAACCCAAGCACCCTGCAGCTGATCCCTCACACTTCCCTGCAGATGCCTGCCATTTCCTCTCCAGCCGGCCTGGCACTTTTCAGAGGCATCTCCTGCCTGGGCACTGACTCCACAAGGGCACCCATTTCACACTCCTGCTGAGGTCGAGTCCCTTCCTTCCTCCCTCAGACCTAACAACTCCTGCTACAGGAGGCTGCAGGCAGCACTCATGCCCAGCTTCAGAACAGCACCAGCTGCTCCCAAAGCCCCCTTCTGATCTCCCTGAGCTGGGCTCTGCTGCCATCCTCAGAATGCCCTCTTGAGCAGCCAGACCTGACAGGCCACTCCTCAGTCTCTGTCTCCTAAAAACAAAACCCTTCAAGCCACTGTAATATGAAGGGAAACAACAGTACAAGGAGACAGTCCCAAACATGGAGCAAGGAGTACAGCTTCAGACGAAAAACAGAGAACCAACCTGTCATGGTGAGCTCTGCCCCCACACAAGCAAGCCTGGAAGACGAGGGCCCATCCAGCCAGTGGAGGGCAGGGAGCAGACTGGTGTCAGCTCACAAGGGAAGACCCTCGATGACTATCCTGCCAGTCTCATCCAACATAAGCAAAAGGCTCACAACCAGTATGGGCCTATGAAGTGGCCGCCAAAGAACCCAAGGCTGCCTGCGTGGTGCTCACACTAGCTGAAGAAGGGGGCTGGGGGCTACTCCCTGGTTGCAGCCAGCCAAACCTCTAAACAAAAGGACTGTCACCTGCTTAGAGAACACAGTCTCTTGCTGTGACCTGGGCTCCAATGCTCTGTCTTGGGCCGTGGTCTAGCTGGTTGCCATAACTATGTCTGTGCACCCAGTCAGGGTTCAACTGGTATCTACTTTAGACTGAAGCCTCCCAGGGGACCAATGCATGATTACAGGCCCTCGGAGCTCCCCCACCAATGGGAGTGAGGATGTCCTTACTGTCCAGAACTGTCCCCAGAACACAGTGTGTCTTAATGGCATTGCCTGACCCTGCCTGAGCATTCAGCAAGAATACACCAGGAAAAGCTCTTGGTGTCTTCATCTCCCAGCACCAAGGGCCCATGCCAAAACCCTGGGAACTCCCTTCACTTTCTGACTACCACCTCTAATTTCCCAAAGTTCAAATCTTTGCCCCAACTCCCACTGCATCTGTTGTAATTCCTCCCAACAGGTCTCTGTCTCCAAGTTCCCATCCCTACCCCCACGCCCTCACCAGCTCCCCAGGTCACATGACTGCCAGAGAGCTACTGCCAGTGAGCATGGGAAGCAACCCGGGCTATACCTCTGCTTGCCCTGAGCCTCGCTCCTCACCGGCAGGGCAGGCAGCCTGTCCAGAAGCCGCTGAGGCACCTGCTCTGCACCTCCCCCACACACTCTCCCCAGGACCTCAGGGCGACGACCTGCTGCCTCACACACTGTCTGACAATCCCATCAGGTCTGCTAGGGCCTCCCATCCTGCTCCCACCGAGGCACCCCTGCCGTCTGCTGCACAGAAACCCTGTATCCGCCTCACTCATGTCTGTGGCACCTCCTGGAGGAATTTCTGGTTCCTGTGTGCCAGCCCCACTATACTATGAACACTCTGAGAGCAGAGACCACGGCATCCACTTTTGTG